TTTCAGACTTGTGGAAAGTTTTAGCATCCACAGCTGAGTTGCATCACATCCCTGTGTTAGGTGGTGAACCATCTTCCTTCATGTGCTTCTAACTTATCACTGAGACTTTTATGTTGGATGGGACCATGAGCTGTGCCTCCTGTGACCTGTATGGATCTGGAGAGACCTGGTGTACATAAATATTCCTGATGTGGATGCTGTCCCACACCGCCATCCCCACCATGGGACCTTTAGAGGCTGGAGATTGAGAGCACAGCATGAAAAAGCAGACACAGAGTGGGTTTATAAAATGGAAAAACTTTGTAAATCTGTGATTTTCTATTCCTTGCCTAAGAATTGTTAATCTGTCATTTGCTTTTCTCACGGTTGCTAAGCACTGAGCTGGTGTTTTCACAAACTGTCTGTTATCCTCCATATGCTCCTGTCATCCTCACACTGCACTCACCATAACCTGAGTGATCCCAGTCAGCTCAGGGTCCTTTATTGCAACTGAAAAGGTGGGATTGCTCCCTTCCCAGGTGTGCATCACTCCACATTTCCAGACATGATGCCATCCAACTCTGCAGTCACTCCATTTTGCACAATCCATCGCAGCAACTGCCTCATATTTTTACTGCCACGGAAATTCTGTGTCACCAGCAGATTTTGCCCTCTCACCTCCCCTTTCAGATGGTTTGTGAGCCTGTTAAGCTGCAAAGGTCCCAGCACAGATTTGCAGGAGCCCTCTCATCACCTCTCCCCACAGTGCAAACCATCCTGCCCTCAGCTTGTTGACCTGTTTTTATCCAGGAGAAAATTTCCCCATCTATCCTGTGACAACTTAGTTCCCACACTCCTGAAAACACTTTTCCATAGCTCATTGCTCTCAGGAGCCAGAGGGCTTTTCTCAGCATCTTTTCTAATTACACTGTCTCCTTTTTAACTCAGGGCAGCCAGAACATCACAAAGGGACTGGGACCATACAAGAATTATGTTTTCTCCTTTGTACTCCTTTCCTAATAACTACTGAAAGCAATTTGCCTTTTTATCACTTTGAATATTCAGCTGGCACATCCACAGTGATGGGAAGTTGTGTGTGTGACAGTAGCTAATTTGCAGCCCATCTTGGTGATTATATACTTGGGTTACTCTTCCTCTGTGCACTTTAGTTTTTATTTCATTTACCATTTATCACCCAGTCAGACTTGTAAGATATTTCCACAACTGTTCAGCTAGCTGCATTTTTTTAAAAAAATATGAAAAATAATTCTGAATCATCAGCATATTCATCACTTCATTATTCACCAAGCTTTCCTGATCATGTATGAGCATGTTGAGCAAAAATCTTCTCCTCACCCCTGTGATTGCTGACTTTTGTCTCCTATTTGAAAAGAAGTTATTTGTTTACCCCTTTGTGAATTTATTTTCCTGCAGTGTTTTTTCTATTTTCTTTATTTTACTTGAAAAAAAAAAAAAAAGACTTTTTTTTCCTTCTAGTAGCCTCCTTTACTCTCTCATTTAATTATTCTGGGTCTCTGTGTGCCTGAGGACATCCTTTTCCTACTTTCTGTTCAGTGGTAAATATGTACTGAGTTTTTCATACTGTGTCTTTCAAGAGCACCCTGCTGTTTGCCAGCATTTCACACATTTTACTCTTCCTTTAAGCTCAGTTTAGTAAGTCTCCTTGATTTATTTTTCCCTTTTTGGACAGTAATAGGTCAGGATTTGGACTCCCTCATTGCCTGTGGCATTGTAAACTGGAATGCATCACAACCATTATCAGAACAAGACCTTTCAGAGGCCACATTTTGAATCAGATTTCTCAGGAGTTTCCTCCCTTCTCTGGGTCCCTACAAATCTGATGAGGTCTAAAAAAGAAACAAAATGCATATTTCCTTGCTTTGCTGGCTCCAGCAAGTGTGTCCTCTTCTCCACAGGCTGGTCCCCACCTCATTTCAGGAATGATAAGGATTTTCTGGGGTTATTTTGGTGCTCACAAAAACGTGATGGTAATGCTGAGATCATGAACTGCTTGGAGATCCCAGAAGCATTAAGGAAAATGATTGTCTCAGATCTGTGTTTCTAAACTGGGCTTTGCAGTCACAATCAAACCTTTTCGTAGTTTATTGGATGCTGAAATTCAGGCTTTTAGATCTTTCTCAGCTCTGAGTTACACATTTGATTAACCTCAGTAATTAAATCTTTCTTTTCACCTTGGGCAAGGATGTTTGCCACAGAAATGTGACAAAAGTCCTCTTACAGCACTGTCTGTGGTTTGTAGAAATGACATATTCTCTGATAAAATATATTCCCCTGAAGGAGTTTGATCTCACAAAGTTCAAGTTGATTTTGACAACTGCATTAATACATCTGTGGTAGGGATCTTTATCAAAGCCATGGATCTCGGGGGTTATTTTGAACTGTCCATTTTCAAAATTAAGATGTAGGGTTTTCTCTGGGTTTTGACCCCTCAGTGTTATCTGCTAGACAGACAGATATTGTCCTAGTTTGAGGAATTTCATGTGCCAGCTCGTACTTTTCTGTGCCTCGCAGAGCTGGAAGGAGCAAATTGCAGACACCCCTCTCCTTTGCCACTGATTTTTTTCTCTGTTATGATGATTTATTTTAGAGAGCACTTAAAACTTGGGATTTACTTTGTGGGCTCCTAAGCAATGATGTTGGCCCAGTGACAGATTTCTTCATGTCAGCATTCAAACTAACAGTTACCACAAAATGAAATTCCCTTCAGGACACAACGCTCCCTTTAGGATGAAAATCAAAATTGTTTGCTGGTTATTTTAAGTGAAAAGAGGTAGAAAAAAAAATATCCTTATCCTTCAAAAGTTCTCCATTAGAATAAAGAGTTGTAGGCCGCCACCAATCCACTGCAAGACCCAGTGCCAGACATGGTGATTTCTCCATGTCACAGAATCACAGAATCACCAGGTTGGAAGAGAACTTCAAGATCATCAAGTCCAACCCAGCCCTAACACCACAACTGGACCATGACACCAAGTGCCACATCCAGTCTTTATTTAAACACATCCAGGGATGGTGACTCCACCACCTCCCTGGGAAAACCATTCCAATATTTATCACCCTTTCTGTAAAAAACCTTTTCCTAATATCCAACCTGTATTTCCCTTGGTGAAACTTAACTCTGTCCTCGCTGGGAAGGAAATGAGAGCACCACAGGGCAGCTAAAAAGGACCAGGGGAGGGTGGGGAGGGAGAACACAGAGCCTGGAGAGGACACGGAGCCCTCCAAGCCCCTTCTGGACCTTGCAGAGCCTGACATCCTTCACAGAGTTACCTAAAGGTTTAGGTAGGTGCCTCACAGAAGGAAACACATTTACAGGGAAACCCCAGATAATTTTCAAGGCTTTGCTATATAAACATATTAAAGATCTTTAAGTAATCCCCTGGCAGAAAGCAGGCAGCCCATTTCTTGCGCTGTGTTTGCTTTGAGATGCCAATCAAACGCTCTTTCCGCAGCGAGAGCTCGGGGCTAGATTTGCCTTTGTGCCCGCAGCTGGGATCGGGCCCAAGAGGTGACAGCCAGCAGATAAGGGCTTAATTAATGTCCAGAAAGGAGCAGGAGCAACAAATGTTATCTGCAGTTTCAGCTGACTCACGCGATGGGCTGATAATCCACGGAGGGCCGAAAGCAGCGCGGTCCCCTCGGGATCACCACGGGCAGCGCTTCAGCCAACCTCACTGCCCATCTCCCAGGCCCCTGGAAAAACTGCCCAGGACTTCTCTGGACATGCACCGTGGATGAAAACGGATGGAAAACTGGATTTTAAAGTCTTGAGTCTGATGTTTTCTCTAAAAGTGTGATAGGAGCTGCTGGGTGAGGGAGAACAGCCCTCTCATGCCTGCAGCCTGGTGTCTTGTGTTTTGTCTACACAAAATATCTAATTTATGAATTGTGACTCTCAGTGAGAAATGCCACCCATGTTATAAGTGGGGATGGATATAAATAGAGTCCACAAGGTATTGAATAACCTTTAGGAAAAAGAACCCTATTTTTTTTTTACCCTTGTAGAACAAAATTCTTCCCACTTTGTTGGAAATACTTTTCAACAAATGAACTTCCTCCAAAACACAACCATGGGAGCTGAAAGTTCTCACTTTGAGCTTTGTAATGGAAAAATGCACCAAAAAAAGATTAATATATAATATTCAAAAGCAAGAAGACACAGGTCTCTGAAAGATAAAAAAGTACATTGAATCTCTTTATTTTGGTGATGAACATGAAGGGTTACCTGGTGGTTTTCCCATAGGAAAAGTGATGCTGCAGAGCACCCAAGGGGCTGCAGCCTGTCCTACCTGCTCTGCAGGTGCCTCCTGTGGGGAGCATGCAGAGATGGTTCCACCATCCCACTGCTTCTTCTCCCTCCCTGGCATTGCTCTGATTGTCTTTAAGAGTTGACAATTAGCGAGAAGTTAAGAAACATTACAGTAAATGGTAGAAAATGGTCTAAAAGGAAGATTAAAGCTTTCAGCAGTCCAAGTCCCAAGGCTTGTTGTCCCAAAACAATCCAAAGGCTGCCTGGGAGACCACCTTTGAAACCAGCAGAAAAGCAGTCAGGAAGTTATGAGGTCAAACATGGTGTTTCAGAAGTTTGTTTTTGGCAAAACACATGCAGCTGGTGTTGGATGTGTTGGGAAGTGCTGCTCTGTTTTGGGGGTCAGGCAGAGGGATGGGGACAGCCCCTGTTGTGGCACCCCTGGAACAGGACCTTGCACAGGGCAGCAACTCCCAAATAAAACTGGGACACTCTGGAGTGATGCCTGGATGAGCACAGCACCTGTGGGGCAGGCTGAGATCATCCAGACACTCTCATTTCTTCTCTTGTGTCTCTGTGCTGTTGGACCTCTTGGGCTTTTGGGGTTTGTTTTTATCCCTGATCTTGCCTTCTTTTCCTAAATCCCCTTTTGTGGAAACCAACAGTGGCCTTATGTGCTCAGTGTTTCTCAGTCACACCTTCCATTTTCTGTGTTTATGTATTTTTTCAGGTGCACAGTGGTCTCCTGAAGCTTGGAGGTCTCACAGCTCCAGCCCTGCTCCCTTACCTGTTTCAGAGTAAGCATAACCAAAACCTTAAGGCCAGGGAAAAATCGAGGCAGAAAAGAGACACTGGGTAGAAAAGACATGTACATATTTTTCAGTAGTGACTGGAAAATAAAACTTCCCAGAGGTCTAAAATAGTCCAAAGGCAATGAAATCAGAGCACAATAAAATCTGGCACTCAGAGCCAGAGCACCCAGCAGCATCTATTTGATAGATTATAGGATCACGTAATAGATATGTATCTATAGGTATGTAATAGATATGTGATCAGTAACTCTCAGGAGCCCAGAAATTTATCTCTGGGATATCACAATATGCACGGCAATACTTCCTAACCAAACAAAAGAAAACCCAACCTTCTGGGTGAAGCTTCAGATGGAACAATGTTATCAGACCTCGCTGGGCAAACACAAGGAGCGCATAAAACCCGCGGCCTCCAGGGAGAGCAGCACCTCTCCTCTTGCAAGAGCCATGGATCTCAAGGTGCTCTGTGCGCTCTCTGTCACCCTCCTCGTAGCCCTCAGCACCCTGGCAGAGGGAATTGCACCTCCAAGTAAGTACATCCATGTGCTGTTGCCTTCCAGGTACATGTGGGACCCACTGGCTGCAGCCAGAACCTGCCAGCTTTAACAAGCCAGACAGCAAATGGCTTTCTGTGCTGCTACTTATTCTCCAAGTGGAGCCTACTTTTTAATTTTTATCAGAGAGAAAAATACCAAAATGTGAAAGACTGCAGCTGAACTCTTGTGTTGTTGGAATAACCAAGAACCTGCTGTAAAGGCAGAGGTCACTAGAACAGGCCCAGGGCTGGAAGAGGAGCCAGCTTTGTCTAAATTTTCTTCTGACATTTGGTTTATGCTGCTTTGCCATGTGAATACAGTTTTAAAGGAGCCTATCTGCCTCCTCATTAAAAGGCAAGTCATTTAGACAGCTCCAGAAGTGGAAAGCGAGTAACTCAATGACAGCTGGAGGACAGCTCCAGAATTTCTTGGTTGTGGCTGACTGTGCAAATTACTTAAATGTTAAAAGCAGCTATTTGCAGATCATCCTGTACTTTATAATCACCTGTCAGGAATGCAAAGATTTTGTATCTTGTTTTTTATATGTTTAAATATCCACTGGACCCTTAAGTCTTTTCCTCTTCACATGAGATGGACAAAGCAGCAAACATTTAATAGCGTAATATTTGAAGTTCTTGGGATTTCCCATTTGGTGTGGTTGATTTGAAGCCCACAAACCCCACTGGGCTGGGCTGGCTTGGCTGCAAATGAGACCACAGACTCTCAGAGTTTGATGTACAGCCAAGACCAAAATTGGTAGTGGTTTAAAGGCAACTTTTAAACCACCCAGGCTGTGGTCTTAGCTGGGAACTGAAAAGATGGAAAGCATCTAGGGAAAGAGCATTGTTCCCAGTGAGCATTTGGTAAACACCCCTCCATAACAAGTGTGCAAACTGTAACTTGCTCCTTCTGTCCTGAACAGCAAAATGCCAGTGTAAAGTGGTTCCCAGGGAGAGGACAAACTGTGGCTACCCAGGGATCTCAGCAGCAGAATGCAGGAAAATTGGGTGCTGCTTCAACGCTTCAGTCCCCAGCGTCCCCTGGTGCTACAATCCTAAACCAAAGAAAGGTAATATCTCTGCCAGAAACACTGACTTACCTCGTGTTTAATTGTCCAGAAATGTGTGCAACCAGGGAGCAGTTCTGCTTTTCTCCTTAGCCCAGAAAAATGGGCACAAATCTCTGTTGGGAGACCAGAGGCAGTAAAACGCAAAATCAAGCCTTGCTTACCCGTCAGACTTCTGCTTCATCCTCTTCACACAATGTATTTCCTCTTCCTTCAGGCTTCTAGTTATCAAACAACTTGTGCTGATTACTTAGAGACATTTCTGTGTCATTTGTGGTCTTATCCATGGGCAGAGCAAGGGATGCTCAGCACTTATTTAAGTGGGTTTGCTTGTTTGACATCTGTCAGCATCCTGCTTCTATTTTTTACTATTGCTTTCTCAGAGAGGATAACAGCTGCTCTCCCAGTCTTTCAAGGATTAGCTGTATATTTTACATAACTGTGTTAAGCAGTGGAGTGTAATTAGCAGCATTAATTAACTCAGTGTAAGCTACATTTGCTGGGCTGACAGCACAACTCCTTCTTAGGAGAACTTCAGGGCAGTCTCAGCAGTTGCACAGGTGACATGAAAGGAAATGAGGGGTGCAAAGGCAATGTTACCCAACAGAAGAACTTGAAATAAATTGAGAATAGTCAACAGGGATCAGAAGTACAGTAGGAAAAAATAGTTTTGCTTTTGAGCACTGCTTGCAATTCTTGTAAACCTTGAAAAACGAGCAGCAGCAATTTGGGGTGCCATTTTCATAGAATTGGTTTTCTGAGCAGAACTGCTCTATGAGAGGAAAACTGAAGTATTCAAGTCGGGTCCTATAATCTCTTTACTTGGGATTTTAGTTTTAAGTGCCTGGAAGAGCTGTGATTTCCTCCTGAAAGATTTATTTCCCTTCTGTAACTTAAGCTGGCATGCAGAGAGGGCTGGGTCACCCTCTCCCTGTGGTAGCCAGGCTGCTCTGGGGTTAGCATAGGGTCAGGTCATGGTCTGAGGCCAGGGTATGTGTAACCACTACAGGAGACACAGGACTCTTCACCCCATTGCTGGATTTAGGAAAGGTAAAGATGGGCTGCTGCCAGACACTTCCAGGGGTGAATTTTGCCTCCTCTTGTCCCTGGGGTGCAGCAGCAATTCATTATCCTTTGGAATTTAGTTTTGCCTGGGAGGCTGGGTGAGGATTTGGACAAATCTGCTGGCAGAAATTGGTTCAGAGAAGGTCATCGTGGCCATCACATCAGCCCAGTGACCTCACCTTTGATTTGTGAATTACATCAGCAGGCAGAGGGAACATGAAGTAACACACTGTCCTTCCTTCCCTCATTATTTTTGCTCCACACAGTGAGGAAAGTGTGTCCCAACGATCCCTACACCAGGATAAACTGTGGCCACCCTGGCATCAAGCCCAGGGAATGCACGAGGAAGGGCTGCTGCTTCAGGGCACACCCCGCTGGTGTCCCTTGGTGCTTCTACCACCGTGTCGTGGAGGAAGGTAATGTCCCACAGGAGATGTCCCCCGTGTCCCTCTGAGTGCTTCATGGCTCCTGGCAGTGTCCCAGGCTTGGTGTGCTGTGCCAGCCAGAGGGTGGGAGCAAATAAGGATGGTTAAACCCTAAAAAAGCGGCTTCTTGTACAGAGAGTGGGGTGTTGCTGATGCATCTGAGCCTGGGATCTGTGGGCAGTGTGCCATTCTGGGCTCAGGTGTGAGCTCAGGACCCCAGCTAGTCCCAGAGTAGAGGTGCAGCCACCCAGCTCACATCCACCTTATCAGCAGCATGAGAGATAAAAGGCTTTGCTTTGGAAATGTGGAATGAAACTTACAGAAATTTCTGATCCCCAGCCAACTTTGTTTTAGTTGGGATTGACCTTTCAGGATATTTAATAACCAATAGCCTCAGCCACACTGTGTTCTGCACTACTTACAATTCACCATAATTCGGTTTTACTGATCTGGATCATAACTGGGAAACACATCTACATATGGGGGTTGCTCAAGATGGCTAAAAAATTGCATTTTGGGTGTCCTACATTGAGGCAAAACACTTCCTAGCATCTTGTGTGATTTATGGAGAAAACATGTCCCTTAATCTGCTTCTCCTCTTTACCTCCCCAGCTTGTTAAAAGGAGAAACTTCCATCAAGAACTTTGCAATCTTTGGATCTACTCCAACAGAATGACAGACGGAGGTCCCAACTCAGACTTTATATTTTGCAACAGCCATGATTTCTAGGCTGCTTTTTTATCTGGGATTGACTCCTTTCTGATGAAAAGTTACTGGTAGCTTTTATTCTCTCAGTAGGCTAGCACCACACAGGTTTTCACTGTAATAAAAGAAGTACGACACAACTTGTGAGGGCTTTTCTTTTTCTTTTTTTTTGCTGTCTTTATTTTAAAGCTGTGCATTTCTCCGTTTCCCAGGAAATTTGGCATGTCAGCAACCTGCTGATGAGGGAGCAGGCACCAGTGCTTCCAAAAGGAGCACGGCACTCAGCTTTTTGTGTTAGTTACACTTCACACTTGCAAGTGACTGCTTTGAATTTGTTAGCTGGCATCACACAGGCCACCTATCCTTCTGAATGCTGGAAATATTCAGAGTTTGCCTTTATATAGATTTAGCTGTGGGTTTGAGCTTCTTTTCCCCCCTTGAAGGGAAGGTACCTTTTGATAGTTGACCACAGAGCTGGTCTGACTCAAAAACCTCCTGCTCTCTGCACCTCCCTGGCTCTGGTGCTCACCACAAGCAGGTCCCATGGGTCATGCTCAGGAAATGTCTCTGTGACACTAAAAGAAACACACAGGCTCTCCCAATCCTGGCCTAAACCTGAAATGGAGCTGCTGTGTCTCGCCAGACACAGGAGAAGCTCCTGGTGTTGTGTGGTTGCTTTCTCCTGGGAGTCTTTAATGCTCAGCACAGCAGCTCAAAGCTTCCCTGCTTCAGCTGAGTGAGAGCTCGGTGAAGAGCCCAGTAAAGAGCCTCTAAGAGCTGTGTTGAGAATAAAATGGGGACCCTGAGGCTCCAGCAGCAACAAACTGTGCTCAGGGCTCAGCAGGGGAGAACAGTTGTACAGGGCTGTGCTGCAAGGAGAGAGAAAAAGATGGAGACACAGAAACATAGAATGGTTTATTTGGAGGGACTTTAAAAGGTCATCTAATCCAACCCTCCGCAGCAAGCAAGGACATCTTCAACTCAATCATGTTGCTCCTAGCCCCAGCCAATCTGTCCTTGAACTTTTCCAGGGATTTTTCACTTCTCTGAGCAACCTGTTGCAGCCTTTCACCACCCCCACTGTGAAAATCTTCCTCCTTAACATGCCTCCTTGGAGGTTTGATTTATCCCTTTACACTTTTAGTGATGAATAAGTTTACCCAGGCAGGTAAAAAATTAGTCATTCATAAACCACTTCCAACAGACTCAGAAATCTGATTTGAATATGGCAGGATACCAGCTGTAACATGAGCAATAAACTGAGCAGCGTACTGAAGGTCTTTGGAGGTGTTTCAAAAAGCTACAGAAAGCGCTGGGTTGGGAGGGATCCACAAAAATTGGGACCAACT